TGCCATAAAGCATCCGATGTTGCAAAAGATCGCAAAGTTACCGTTGATGATTTCAAATTTATTTTGCGGAATGATTCAAAAAAATTAGCCAGAGTTGAAGAGTTATTGCATATGGAGCAAGAGATCAAGAAAGCTAGGCAAAATTTTGATGTTAAAGATATTGATGAATAGGAAACTAATATTCTTCGAGGTACATAGAATAATTAATTGAAAAATTTATCTATCACATTTGTCAAAATTATTAATATATATTAATAAAACTTACAGATTGTGTATTCTATTTTAAACTATTAGTGATTAAAATTTATCCAAACATATGCAAATTTTCGTTAGAACAAAATTGAGGTTTTAATTATCTAATAGTGTTTACAATATACAATTGATTTAATATTTAAGAAATATTTTTAGAAAAATATTCAAGAATAACCTGTCGTTATCTTAATTACCTTGAAAAAGCATAGCTTTTTTTATTTATTAACTGCAGGATTATGAAAGAGAGTTTTGTCACCGTCACCCCATGGAAAAGGCTAATAATTGTGTCAAAAAGAAGAGATAAGAATTGCAGATAGGTGCGATTTTAAAAAAAGAGTTTTAGAAGATACCTTGGTTCTGATACGTTGGTATTGATAAAGTGGGTGATTTTCGTCTTTATGTTCATGCTCTTTGTGAGCCTCGTGTTCCTTCATGATTCTGTATGAATTTGCTGTACCCAAAAGAAGGGCTGGGAAACAAACATAAATAGTGATATTTTTCCAGGTTTTGGCAGTGCCTATTAATAAAAAATCAAGATGGATCGAAAATCGATAAATCAAAAAATTAGATATATATAATATTGCCGTTGGAATTTTTTTTTTTATAAATGATCTAAACCAGGAACGTAAAAGTAACAATAATTTTACAAGTATGTATTTGTTCATCGTGCCAAAAGTACTATATAAAACAAAAAGTTGATATATAACTCTTTGCATGTTCTTCAGCAACCAAACGTTCGGCAGCAAACGGGGAAAGACCCCCTGGAGTAGCCACTGCAGAGTATTTACGAATCGTAACAGGGATGCGAGGCACAACTTTAGCAATGCGGGTTGCAAAAAAGCGCTTCTCCATAGTGCGAATAATTTAGATACGAGTTATTACGTGTAAATGATGCATGTCCTGTTATATAAGATGTTAACACCGCTCTCAAATTTGTACTATGCAATTTGCATCATTTTGGATAGTTTTAGTATAAAACAGGGGGTCGTCTAAAGCCGCGTCCATCACGTGAACTAATCCAATAGAATTGTTTATTTTGATCGACACGGATCAGCCCGAAGAGACAAAAAACAGCGAAAAAAAGTGAAAATCGCA